ATGAGGAGGCCCAATGTCCACCTGCCACCCTACTACCAAACCTATAATTATTTGCACCTAGGTCCGTTCCCCCCTTGTTCTTATTTCCCCTCTTAAATCTAGCTCACAATTAACTCACTCAAATAAATAAGAAATTCCACAATATTAATTTTTTAGCTTATTTCTCCTCTGTCCTTTAAAATTCTTTTTGTGAAAACATTCTATTTGATAATAATATATTTATTGCAATGTTTCCTCTTTTGAAGGAGATAAAGTAGAAAATCACCGGGCATTCAGGAAGATGCAATTATCTATGGGACACGTATATGAGATGTTAGAAGAAAGAAGATGCAAGTCTCCTACGAAGATGCAAGTCTTCTAAAAAGACTATGAGGCTCATCAGAGTATTGTGTAGAATAATGGCAATAAAAAGGAGATGAGTGTACCATGACATAACATACAACCATTAAAACTATTTTGCATTTTTATCCTTAAGCATGTTAATGACATTATTTCAGAACAAAGGAATTTACTAATCATGATGTACCATCAGACTACATTGCAATAAAATAGTTACATCTACTTGCTGTCATTGAGTCAATGCCGACTCATAGCAACCCTATAGGTTATTAGGGTAGAACTACCCCTGTGGGTTTCCAAGACTATAACTATTTAGGGGGCTAGAGAGACCCGTCTTTCTCCAATGGAACAGCTGGTGATTTTGAACTGCCAACCACGCAGATCACAGACCAATGCATAACCACTATCTCACCAGGGCACCTGTTAAAATATTTACATAAACATGTACATGATAGAAAAATATCTAGAAGGACATTAGTAAATAGTAAACTATCAGTTGCAATAAGCTTATGGTTTATTTTTTATTATGTCTTTGTTTAGCTCTATTTTGGAATTTTATTCAAATAAGTGACCTTTTAAAATTTATGTATATAATTATATCTATGTCTATGTCTACATCATCTGTATATATATATCATCTACATCTATATCTATATAAATCTATATATACTTGTATCTATGTAAGTACTTAAAAAAATTCAGGGGACAATTCCATTGTGTTTTGATTCAATTTTTTCCCTGAATTTTTTGAAGTTTCTTGTATCTATTCCAGGATTTCTATGGTCAGAACCAACTTGAGGCACTTCACAACAACAAAAACATAAAGAAAAAATAATAGTTGTTTACCAAGTTTCAGGCCTGTAAACGAAGGCACTAATTAAGGTTTTGTCATCAATTCCGACAACATATTGAAAGAAAAAAAAAACAAACAAATAAAAAATCAAACCCTCATTAATAATCTGCATATATCCATTCATCTCAAATTGCATATTAAAAATCCAGTATCACTCATCAATTGGTAATTTTTACTGTTACACGGGCATGTGGTATAGTTTACCTCAATGGCTAAACCTTGAGAGCACTACACAAAATGAATTGCCAGACGCAAAAGGAAAAATATCACATGATCCTACAGATAGCAAGAATATTGATTAGACAAATACCTAGAAACCAAAGTGGTTACTAAGGCCTGGGAGGAGGCAAGAATGTTTAAGTAGTACTGTGTTTCTGTTTGGAGAGATGAAATTATTTTGAAAATAATCATGTTGATTGCTCAATATTGTGAACAATGTCATTTATATTCCTAAATTATTCACTAGAAGTGGTTAAATGGCATTTTTTGTTACATGTCTTATATGACAAAATAATTTTTTTAATTGAGGACAGAAGCTTAATCTTGCCCTTTTGTGAATTAGGAGTCCTTCTTGAAGTTATCTGCAGCATCATCCCAAACAATGAGTCAGAACTTCATATCCCCAAGACTTGAGACTCATCATCTAACATGATCATAGGTTTTATCTCTTCATGTGCCACCCATTGTTGTAGTTCCTGGACTCAAGAAACTCCTGTCACTCCATTCCTAACTCTGTAAAAACATCGTGGCCAACTGTTCTACAGGTCAGGAGAGAAAAGGAAGTAATACAAACATCACCATTAATGGGGAAGTGCATGATGACGGCAGTATGACAGTAAATGTTTGTCCTTAGGTATGATGCACACACACTCACATCTGAGTAACGAAATTTTTGTACGTATGGAGGTAAATAAATGGTCTGTGATTCAGACAAATGTTAGTTTGAATCACTTCTTTACCACTCTTTATTTGAGAAATCTCAAGAAAATGATTTCGTCTTTCTTAAAGTGAATATCCACTTTGGTAAAGTAGGGACAATGCAGAATTTTAATAACTTTTTGCTAGGGTTTAAATAACATGTAAATGAAGCACCTGGCATTTACTAGGGATTGAATAAATTTTGGAAATAGCCATAGAATACTTCATAGGAAAGAAAAGAATATAAAGCATATGCATGCATCAGGGGTATACTCACACACTAAAACGGTTAATCTCTAAAAGTATTTGCTGAAACCAACCTCAAACAATGCTGACCTGCCCACAAACAAGCTTCAAAAACAAGTTCAGGAAAAATTCCTGAAAGACGCCTGTAAGAGATATTTTAATTGGAAGGGGATAAAACCCAACATTTTTAGGAGCACATTTTTAAACTCTGAGAATTTGAGGTTAGAAAAAGTGTAAAAGAGTTCTAGAAAGAAATCAGGCTCATCAGTTCAAACATTTGAAAGAATAACAACAGTAACATGTTTGCAAATACGTCTTTAGAGTTTAAAGATGGCTTTTAAATACATCTTTCTCTGAGCAAATTCTTCTTTTGAGAGAACCTTCCTTAGTGCTGCCTTCATGGCTTCATTCCGTAAACTGTAAATGATCGGGTTGAGTGTCGGAGGTATGACAGTATAGAATATGGAGAACATCAGGTCCATAGTTGATGGAAAATCTGAAGGCGGCCTTAGAAACTCAAAACCTGCAGCCAAGAGGAAGAAAGTTACCACAAACAGGTGAGGTAGGCAGGTAGAGAAGACCTTCGATCGCCCCTCAGCTGATGGGATTTTCAGCACAGCGGAGAAGATGCGGGTGTAAGAGAGCACAATAGAAATCAAGCAGACAAATGCTGTAGAGGTTGTGAATGCAGCCACTGCAATCTCATTGATGAAATCATTGGAGCAGGATAGTTTCAGCATCTGAGGAATATCGCAAAAGAATTGATATATAACTCGGTCCCCACAGAGAGGTATGGAGAAATTAATAGCTGTGTGTAGGAGCCCAGAAATGCCCCCAGCAACCCACACAGCGACCACCGCACGTCTACAAGCACTGGGATTCATAATGACCTCATAATGCAATGGTTGACATATGGCCACATACCGGTCATAAGACATCACTGTGAGGATGGCCACTTCCGATGAAGCCAGAGCTATGAAAAAGAAAACTTGAAAAATGCACTGACCAAAAGAAATGTACCCATTGTTGGTAAGTGAGTTCGCGATGGACTGAGGGACAGTGACAGAGATGAAGCAGAGGTCCAGAAAGGAGAGGTACTTTAGGAAGTAATACATGGGAGAATGGAGACGATGGTCCAAGGTAATGATGCTGATGATGAGGAGGTTGCCTGACAAGGCCAGCAGGTATATCCCCAAAAAGAGCACTGCGTGTACGATCTGAAACTTAGGGTCATCAGAAAAGCCCATGAGGAGGAATCCACTCATTGAAGTCCAGTTGGCCTTGATCATTCTGAAGATTCCAAGGACGAGTCTGTTCAGGAAGCCCAAGAATTATAAAGAAAGAATGGAGGATACTTAATAGATTTGTAGGTTGGGTAACTCAGTGTCCTCAGTATTAAATTCAGAAAAATCTTTAATCATTATTAAAATATATTGTTGTCTTGTTGCCTCAAATAAAGGCAGGACCATGGCAACATCATATGTGGAAAAGAGAACTGCTTCATAGAGTGTTGAAGGCTCTGGCTTTTCAGAAACAGATCTCTAGACCTGTCTTCCAAGACACAGCTGGTTGGGTTCAACTTTCAGCTAGTTGGAGAGCATTTAACTATTCAATAACTTCACATACCTTCGGGAAAAAATCATGATGACTTTGTGGATCAGCATTTGGGTTATCAGATGGTGAAAAATTGACAGAGATGATGATGACTCTCCTCTAAAACAGATCAATGAAATTGATTCGGATACAGCAGGATCGTTACATCTTATGCATGGCACCTTAGTATTATACTGGCATCTCAGGAAGATGCAAACAGTTAGTTGCTTTGCTGCAAAATGAAAGGCTGACACTTTGAACCCTTCTGAAAGTGCCTGGCAAGACAAGCCGGGTGACATACTTCGAGAAATGTATGGAGTAATGTTTTACTCTGAACACATAAAGTTGCCAGAAGTAAAAAATCGACCTAAAGGCAACTGGGGGAAAAATAAATAAATAAGAGAATTACCTTAAGTATTGCACTGGTTTCATATACCTTGGTATTGCCTAAAGCTCCTTTAACCAGCTAAAACTCAATCTTGGATGAACCTAGGAACAGAACAGGTTCAAATCCAGGAGAAGTGTTAACAGTGAGGATAATCATATTCCCTGCTTGCAAAAGACTGTTAACATGGTCTGAAAATAAAATTGGATTGGAATAAATTTCTTAGAGCAACCTTGAAAAGTCAAACAAGTCTCAAAATTATATTATGTACATAGCCTGGTATCAGGCATCACACGCTGTGGTTTTGAAACTTTAGGGGACAACTTGTAACCAATCATATGTTCTATTCTGAGAATATCATTCAATGTTCAAGACAATTGAAATGACATTGGGTTGGACATTTTTAATCACATTTATTTTTTATAACAAATACTGAGATTTTCTAAAATATATTGAATTCCTACTATATGACAGACTGAATGATAGATGGTGGAGTAAAGAAGAAAAACAACATTTTATTCCTTCTATCTAGGACTTGAAATACATTATATGTACATTAGGTGTCTGTTCCATACATTAAACAAGCCAACCAAACAACAAAACTTGATGAGAGATGTAACATAATTGCTACTTGTTCTACTTCATTTTAAATGTGCTATTTTAGAATAATAGAATTAGTCTACATATCAAAATAAATGCGTTGATTGCTTTTACTTTTAAAAAAATAGACCTCTGAATTTGTGGACAAATCCACAGTATTGTTTTCAATGTGTTTCGTGTCTGCAAAGACTATGTCTTCATTTTCCTCTAACGTTGCCAATGGTATCTAGAATGTAATGGCACAAAACAAAGCCATCTTGTTGATTCCAACCCATGGAGACCTCCTGTATATCAGAGCAGATCTATAGATCTGTGACGGATTTTTCACAGGTAGATTATCAGGTATTTCTTCTGAAATGCCTTGCATAGACTTCAACCTTCGTCCTTAACCATTGATCATCTAACATAGAAGCAAGCACTAAGTAAATGTTTAATTGAGTACATACATACATACATATATATATATACACACATATATAACTGAGTTCAATTCAATTCAGACAAATAATTATGAAGTCATTTTGAATGTCTTCATTAGATATTGTGGTTTGCTCTATTCGTTCTTCCCTAAAGACTGGGATCCAGGAGCCCACACAGTGTAGTGTTTAAAGTGATAGGCTGCTTCTTTAAAGATCAGTGGTTCAAACCTTCCAGGTGAGCTGCCAGAGGCTTCTGTAAAGATTTAGATCCTTGAAAACCATGTGCAGCAGTTCTAATATGTCCTATTGGGTCATCACGAGTCAGATTTGACTTGATGGCAACTGGCTTGGCTTTAATTCTGTATTCCCATGAGTCCTCCCAAACAGCTCTAAGACATCCACAAATAACCCTCCCAATAATACATTCAATGTGCTCTTATTATGCTTCTAAATGTTCTTTATCAAAGATATGACATTACACTGCTTTTTCCCCCCCCTAGAGTATCTCGCCTCCTTTGGTCTGTGATGCCGCTCAGTGCTAATTCTCTCCCTCTATAGAGAGCCTTTCCCCAATTTCTTCCTCTGTGTCCTCTCTGTGCAACCATTGAAAGATAACACTACTCCAAACTATGCTCTTGGTCTCTATTTTGTCTTTTTTTCTAACTGAAAATATATTTTGAAGAGGCATTTAGAGGAGCCAGGTTAACTGCTGTTCTACATGAATTGTACACTTTCCACATTTACTCGGGGGATGTGGTTCAAGCACATCCATGGATCTCCTGTGTTTCAGGTCCTCCATCCACCTTCAGGACTGGTACACAATCACCTCCAGTAGAATCTGTCCAGTCAAAATTTCTCTCTTCTCCCAACCATTTCCCTCCACTCCTCCCTACTTTAGAGAACAGCACACCCATCTCAAGATTTTGTCTGTTTCTTGTTTCTTGTGTGCATTACCTCCTGTTGTCCCATTTCTACCTTAGTTTGCATTTCATAATCCCTTGTAAGATCTTATTACTAAATTCAATTCCCTGCCAATCTAACCTCTATGCTATTGCCAGGATGATCATCTTATCACATTTCTGATTTTGATTTTTTAATTATCCAACTGAGGGTGGAAAACAATACCTTCCACAATATATTCCTTTCCAGTATTCTCTATCATTGTAACTTTTCCAATCCCATGTCATACACATTCCTTAACAATGCTGAATTAATTAGATTACTCTGAATGCACTAATCATATAGCTATACTACATTCAGTTAAAAATAGTTTTTTGGACATAATATCCTTTCTGTTTGGAATTTCGACCAATAGACATATTCCTAATTTGCCCAGCAAATATTTAATGATCTTTAAACACAGTTATATTGCTCTCCTTTAAAAAAATCTCCTGAGTTCACCTGATAATCCAAGTAAATTTGAACACTAGCCTTTGAGCTCACATTGCACTCACTGAAATTTCTCATAATATGTATACATTTATTATACTTATTAATGTACCCATGTTTCTCATTCTACTTAAACTAATCAGCATATGGGGGCTCATAATATATTTTACGTAAGGTTATATTTATAATGCCTCACATAGTTATCAGCACTTAGCAGGTACTACATAAATATTGAATAAATTCCATGACATTTTCAGAAGTTACACTCACCAGAGATGATCCTAGTCAGGAGGAACAAATCTCAGTTAATCCTGAGCGTAAGCATCTCTGTTTGGGAATTGGGCTCATAGCTTAGACTGTGCATGAAAAGGAATGAATTGATTTTATACAAGACTGAACAGGGAACATAGACTCAGGGACATTTAAACTCCCTATTAAGCCCATGGTACTTGAAATGAAGCCAGTACTGCCCAGGCACTAGGGAACAAACCTTTAAGCAAGGTTGATATCCAGGTAAACACTCTGAGTTAAAAAACTGGGACCTTACAAACATTTCCCTCAAGGAATTACGTCAGTGGAAAGCAGTTAATTATCATTTTCCTTTATGCATTTCAGGAAGGGAAAATGTATATTGCATGGAAGTTATTTTCTGTGGTCTAAATTCAGTAAGGATTTTCTCCTAAGAAGTCATTTTCATCCATTAGCAATTTCTATTTCTTTGATCACCAATAAAATCATGTGTGTTTGTATGGGCCTTGTGTGAAAAAGGGAATATGTTTAGTAAAATCATACATATTTTTATGAGCCCATTTTATGAGCCCAATTCTAACAGTAATGAAGATAATTCATTAGTAATTGAAAGGTCACTGTGAGTTTGTTAATTAGGTTAGGTCTTGAGAAAATAATTTTTTTTAGTCTAGACTTTAATCTGATAAGCATTTTCATTAAAACTTTGAGAAACTAGAATTATAATATTATGAATATTGGTTAACAGGGAATGCAAAATTTTCAGGAAATTAATATAGTTGAATAATTAAGAGGAAATTGTGGGATAGCTCAAAAAAGATAAAACACATTGAAATATACTTCCTATAGAAAACTGCATCAAAATTGGAGAGTTGTGTGATTGTTTTTCTTTTTAAAAGAATGGGAAAATCCATTCAATGCATATTTAAATAATTTCATGATAAATTCAAATTTAGTGATAAATTTAAACATAAAAACAAAACTCCAAATAATATTTTAATTGATGAACAATTATTTCCACTCCATTGTACTTATCAGACCAAAATGTAATTAACCATTTCAGAATTAAATATTTTAAGATGATTATAGATAAAGGAGTATGTTTGCAAAGAAAAGTGACTACGAGCCATTCACTCAGATTAAGAGAAAACTCCGAGGGACTCATTTTGAAATACTAAAAATAATGTCCTTAAAATTCAATTCATGAAAACAATCCAAGTGCATATCAATAGATGAATGGATAAACAAATGTGATATATATTGTATATTTTTATTGTTATTTATTCACAAAGAGAAATGCAGTTAGAGCAAATCTTTAAGCATTAATGAAGTAAACAATAAATCAGTATCAAAAGGATAAATGAAAGAATCCAAGGAACAAACAAAAACAACCCATTAGAATCATGTTGATTGCTCTGTTCGAACTCATAGCGACCCCATGTAGGTCAGAATAGAACAGAGCTCCATTGGGTTTTCAAAACTCTGACCTGACAAAAGTCCTTTGTCTGCAGAGCCAGCTAGTTACGTTCAGTCAACCTTTCATTTAGCAGCTGATAGATGTTTCTAATACATGGTCAGAAATACACATGAAAAGAGACAATTTTGCTGGGCGTAAAATTACACAATGCCCTTCATAACCTCCACTGGGGCTGAGCTC